GGTCAGGTGACGGTGACTCAAACTCCAGTACAGACGTTTACTCCAGGGTCCACTGTTACCCTGACCTGCAACACACACCCAAATGTTCGCAGATGGGCCGATGGAGACAGCAGGGTAAACTGGTATCAGCAGAAACCTGGACAAGTTCCTAAGTTAGTCATTAAATTGGGTCAAAATGCTGTAAGTGAGTTTTCTCCTCGATTCTCTGGGAGAGGAGACGGAGCGATGGCTGAGATGAGCATCAGTGGAGCTCAGGAGCAAGATGCAGCAGTTTATTATTGTCAGGCTGTTCATGAAATTAACAGCGTCTGGACGTTCGCACAGTGATTCACGGTTGTACAAAAACCTTGAGTCAAACTGCAGACGCTGAGCTGATACAGGAAACATGAGAGAGCACAGCTCACCGTGGTTTCATCAAGCGTGAAACATCTGTCATGGAGGGAAACAAGTCCACCGCCCTCGAATTCAACAGTTTTATTTATCAGGACTATAATCCTAAATATCTGTAAATTTAACCTCAAATGTACAACAACACACAACTGATTCCACCACGCCATTATTTATGAAACTAAATCAAAGCCAAAATGAAAAATCTATACTGTGAAAACTACCCCAGGCTTCAAAAATGATATAATAATTATACGTTCAGCAGCAATCGACTGTTTGGTTTGATCAGTTTGTCCCACTCCTCTGGCTTCACATCTTTGAGGTTGGCAGACATTTGTTTCTGCTCAGCTCTCTAAAGTCAGACGTTCAGTCAGACTGAGGTCTGGACTTTGACTGGACCATTGCAACACTCGGACTCTGCTCTTTTCCAATTGTTCTGATGCATCATGACCCAGTTTGGTCCAAGCTTCAGCAGTTGGACAGACTGACTCACATTTGACTGTAAAATCCTTTGGTCTACAGAGAAGTTCATGGTTGACTCAGTGCAGCAAGGAGCCCAAACCACCAGCCCTCCACCACCGTTCTTTACAGTAGGTATGAGGTGTTCGTGCTGATGGAATGTGCTTGGATTTCTCCAAACATGCCCCTGTGCATTATGGGTGAACACCTTTATTTGTGTCTCGTGGATCCTAAAGATCTTTGAACAACTCTATTAAGATTTAAAGGGGGAGTGTTTTTAGTTACATCTTTGTTTTGGATTGTAAAGTGTTTTGAAACATGAATAATTTTAATTTATTAGTTGCAACTCTTTCATGAAATTGTTCAAGTGCTCTGACATAATTTTACATGCTCTGTTTTTTAGTAGTAACACCACTGCACTTAGCTGCCACTGAAAGCATCCTTAGACAGAGGGAGGTAAAACTCCAAACATTTCTTCTTCACGTGCAGCGTTGATACATAACCTTATAATCAGAACTAATTAATGATCTTCTGTTCAAATTCCAAAAGTGAAATATTTATCAAATGAGCTAAATTGATTTAAACACCTGCCTGGATACAACCTAAATAAGATCTCGGGTCCATCGAGATTTTTCTGGTTTTAGATCAACGAGACTCGTTATCGAATTCTGCTCATTCAAAGATTAATTATTGCTTTACCTAAGAAAGTTACTCATCTTTCACGTAATATAACTTTCTTTAGAAAATTATTCTCCATATTCTTCTTGATTATTTGTGTTGTGCTGATATTATTTTTGATTTAGATTATTTTTGTAATAAAGTTTTAAATGAAATATTGGGCCTCCTCGTTAGAAAATATGACAGTATCAGATTCCCTGAAGTCATTAATGAGCTAAGATTAATAAGAGGTTGAATAAATTGAGTAATTTATAAATTTATGTTGAATAAATTGAGTAATTTATAAACAACAGTTGAATATATTGAGAATTTTATAGACAAAAGTTGAAAAAATTGAAAAAATTATAAGCAAAAGTTGAATAAATTGAGTAATTTCTGAATAAATGTAATGCATCACGGTGGCACAACTGGTAGAGCTGCTGCCTCTCAGCGAGCAGGTCCTTGGTTCAAATCCTGGTCATGGGGCCTTTCTGGGTGGAGTTTGCATGTTCTCTCTGTGCATGTGTGGGTTTTCTCCCACAGACCAAAAACATGTATGTTAGGCTGATTGGTAACTCTAAATTGTCCCTAGGTGTGAGTGAGAGAGTGAATGGTTGTTTGTCTCGCTTGCCTCTATGTGTCCCTGTGATGGACTGGAGACCTGTCCAGGGTGTCCCCCCCCGCACAGTGATCGCTGGACATGGGCACCGGCGACCCCCATGACCCAAAATGGAAGAAGCAGGTAAAAGATAATGGATGGATGGATGGATGAAAAAATGTTGAATAAATTAAATTATAAATAAATGTTGAATAAATTGAGCAATTTATAAATATATGTTGACTAAATTTAGCTATTTAAAAATAAAAGTGGAATAAATTGAGTAATCTATAAATAAATGTTGATTAAATTAACTATTTAAAAATAAAAGTTGAATAAATTGAGTAATCTATAAATAAAAGTTGATTCAATTTAGCTATTTAAAAATAAAAGTTGAATTAATTGAGTAATTTATAAATAAATGTTGATAAAATGTAGCTATTTATAAATAAACGTTGAATAAATTGAGCAATTTATGAATAAAAGTTGAACAAAATGAGAAATTTATAATTAAATGTTGACTAAATTTAGTAATTTATAAATAAATGTTGAATAAATTGAGCAATTTATAAATAAATGTTGAATAAATTGAGTAATCTATAAGTAAATGTTGATTAAATGTATCTATTTAAAACTAATAGTTAATAAATTGAGTAATCTATAAATAAATGTTGAATAAATTTAGCTATTTATAAATAAAAGTAGAATAACATGAGAAATTTATAATTAAATGTTGACTAAATTTAGTAATTTATAAATAAAAGTTGAATAAAATGAGAAATGTATAAATAAAAGTTGAATAATTTGAGTAATTTATAAATAAAAATTGAATAAAATGAGAAATTTATAAATAATTGTTGAATAAATTGATTAATTTATAAATAAATGGTGAATAAATTTAGCAATTTAAAAATAAAAGTTGAATAAATTTTGTAATTTATAAATAAATGGTGAATAAATTTAGCAATTAAAAAAAGAGATGAATAAATTTTGTAATTTATAAATAAATGTTGACTAAATTTAGCATTTTATAAATAAAAGTTGAATAAATTGAGCAATTTATAAATAAAAGTTGAATAAAATGAGA